CAAATAGCACGTGTTGAAGACCCAATGCAGAGGGCCCCGAACGATCGAATGTGCCCGAGCAGGTTATCAGATAGGCCCCCCGCAAGAGCGTAGGACCCCCCCCCCCCCTTCAGAAAAGAAGCAACCAACACCCAGTGTGGAGGGTCCCCGAACGACTGAGTGTGTCCAAGCAGGCCATCAGATGGGCCTCCAACAAGAGTTTAGGGTCCTAAGCAAGTGGCAGAGAATTGGAAATGCTCTAGACCAATGTAGGGGTCCCACGGGCATATCACAAGGGTGTCGGTAGGTTGACCGAGGCCCACGTAAAGGGACATTGAACAACCGAAAATACCCCGGCTCTAGATCACAGAGCCTTTCTGGCGAATGGAAAGAATCCGTGGAAGGGCCCGTGATGGACAAGAGTGCGCCGGCACGCTAACATGAAGGGCCCCAACAGCGCAGGTCCCTTCCGAGCAAATACAAAGAAATGAAGAGCAACATGGAATGCTTCTTAACCATCGAAATGATCCTGCAGATGGGCATACAGGTCTCCCGAAAACAGCATGCGGCCCTAGACAGTGAAATGGGGCTCGAAATGTCTATTTCACAGCTTTTCCAATCGCTGAACAATTTGTCGAGTTTTCATAGGCCCTTCACTTTCCCTCACAACTGTTTTAGGTCGCATAAAAGTCCGGAGATCCCTAGTTTCGTTGCGTTTTGTGTTTGAAAAAACTCCACCTGTTCGCCCGGCTATGGGCCTGCTAGGAACCAATGAGCCCCTCCGGGGCCCAAGAGGGGGGGGGGGGGGTGTCATGGCCCCATGGCCCCTCTCTGGATCCGCCCCTGGGCACAAACCGCATTGCCATCTCCCTCTTTATCAAGAGTTTTACTTCACACAGCAGGTGGCTTTATGGTGTTGTGGTTCAATTCTCCTATGATGTCAGTGAAACTTGGCATTTAGTTGTCTCACAAACGTGTCAATCACAAACGTGTCTTCATTCGCAACAATAGAGGTACCATGGCGCTTGTTAAGACGACGGTGCTGTCGAAAATTGCGGAGAAAAACACAGCGCTGTTTCAAAGCGTTACCAGTATGATTTGGGCTTCGTAGCACTCTTCTTAAATAATGAAATGACATCTAAGGGTCCATCTAAACGCTTAATCCCGAGAGGAGCCTGTATGTGATCCCACAAGGTCCATCTTATAACAGAGGGAATGCCAAAGCATTGCTAAGAGGGGGTGGGGGCGGCACACAGTTAGATACAGGCTCCCGGTGAAAAGGCGCCCAGATGAATCACCAGATTTGCCCATTCTATTTCGCTGGGTCCAGCTTTCTTCATCGGTCATCACTGTTCGCTGCGGGACCCAGTGGATTCAACAGTAAGAAGGCCCCTTACCTTTCGTGGACGTGGAGCCTCGCAAGTAGAACACTAGGCAGCCCCATTGCCTTTCCCGGTCAGAGATTAAAGGGGATTTCTGTGCAAGCTCGTCAACCAGGGTACTTGCCGGCTACTTTTCTAGAGACACGGTGGCTGGGGCCCCCTGGTCGACCACGAGAGCCACAGAAGGATGCACATTGGATTGGTCCCCTCCCTGGCGCGGGAGGCCCTCGGACCGGGGCAGTTGATTCCGGATCGACGCAGGGCGCCTCACTAATGCTAAAGGATCGCTTACCGACACAGGGGTCCAATAATTGGCAGATGATTCCATTTCAGCTCATTCGGCCCCTGGCCGAAATGGGGTGGAGGTCCAGAGCTACGTTCAATCCTGGGCCCATTCCGACACAGTGCTCTTTCACTGTCTCGTCGTGAATCATTGCCATTTATCCCATCTCCTTTCATTATCAGCGGGATGTCAATTCAAGAGACTCTCTGACATTCGGGGTCACATTCCTGTCCCTACTCAGAAAACGGAACCATTGCTGACTCGGGGCCCTTGCCGACATAGGATCCCTGTAAGGCGTACTGACCCTCCCCCCCCCCCCCCAACCTGACCAGTACAGCGGTTCTCCATTGCCTAAGGGATCCCGACCAATGCAACAGATCCTCTGACCGACAATCGTAGGCCCCAAAATGTTCCCGGATTTGGAAATGGGCTTAAGGCCGCCACGGGAAAGACTGTTCAAAATTGGTGGTCGCGAATCGACTCACGGGCCCTCATTGCCCGCATGGGCCATCAATCGGCGCAAGGGGCCCACTGATGGACATTTGCGGGCCAGGATCCCTTGATACAGTCTCTGGCCAATTCTTCGGGACCCCTAGTCGGACCCTTGATCGTCGGCCCCGAAGAGCGCCAAGGGCCCGCATGGACCAAAAAGGAGACGTGTGCCCCCAGTGCCCTAGGACCAAGTTATTAGGCTGGTAAGGTAAACATCCCATGTGCCGAAAAGACACCTCTCATCTTGCAGGCCTAGGATGAGCCCACGTCTAATTAAGCTCGAAAATGGCACACGCTAGGTCTGAGAAGTGTCATTTTTTCATGCCCAAACAAGCCACAGGTCAAGTCTGGAAATATCAATTTTTCCTCTTAGACCTGAGAACATGGTCTGCAAAGACTTGGGAAGGGATGATCCTATTTTAGGCCCATAATGGGGACGGAGATGAGCCCAGATGATAGGCCTAGAATGAGTTATCCAATCTGAGCCTCTACCCATCCGCATTATCGCGAGAGGACCGATGTTGGTACACCCACCGGCAGAGCACATCGGTAGCATACCCAGAGTTTTTTTCTGTCACCAATGTTTTCAGTATTTGATAGATTTTGGAAGCTCTAGAACCGGCTAATGTTTCTGATTTTGAAACAGTAGCGCAGGCAGAGGGGGGCAGGGTGCTGGGCTATGTGCCCTCGCTCCATATCCGGGAGGCCCGAAGGTCCCCTCGGGACCCACGATTAGGGGTCCGACTTGAGGCCCCGAAGGATTCAAAAGGACCTTCGGAGGTCTGGTCACTTCAATGCCAACCAGAGGGCCCTGAACAGATCAGGGGCCCCTGAGCCGGTAACAGGCTATATGTCGGATCAAACACCATCAGAAACGCACAGTCGGCTTCATGGCGGCATGGGCCGGAGTGCCCATTTCTCAAGCAGGTAAAAAACCGGAGCCAGCGATTTACGTTGGTCGCGGTCCCCACAGCGCCTAACGGGGACCCTGTGCTGGCAAGGGGCTCCAAATCGGTCTGAGGCAATGTTGGAGGAGGCCTGAACAGCCTGGGGGACCCACCGGATCCCATGATCGAGAGCTCGATTGGAAGGTCTAAGAGTACGAAGGACTGGTCGATGTGTTATTCAGTGGTGCCGGCCTGCGGGGACTGACCCTTGAATGCAAGTCAGAGGGCCCTTTATACCGATCAGGGGCATCCTGAGCCGATATATGTCTATATGTCGGTCAGGCACCACAAGTGCTGCACAGCCCGCTCCGCATTGGTTTAGGAACGTACTGTGGGAAGTAGGCCTGGGGCCCCTTCCCAATCAGGTACAAAGCTGGGACCAGTGATTTGCACTGGTTGGTGCACCTGTATTTATCAGTGGCACCCAGTACCTAACAAAGGACCCTATACTCGCGATGGGCCCGAAGCGACCAAGGGTAGTGTTCGATAAGGCCCGAAGAAGGACCCGGGCGGCCCAACAGAACAGACTATCAAATTCCCGGCTGAAGGGCATATCGGCCCGCAAGATTGGCTGTAGGTCACATAAAGAATCGTTGTTCGTAAGGTGATGACCTGAAATATCGGTCAGAGGTCCTCTTGTACCGTTAAGGACCCCCTGAGACAATGCGGATGTCCAACTCGGTCAAAGACCACGATCACCGAGCAGATAGCTCCCTGTCATTTTGAACCTTTGGGGCCCATTTGCCAAACAGGAGCAAGATCAGGGGCCATGATCGGCATTGGCCTGGGCCTCTGAAACAGTGGTTGGGCCTCTTTGTCGGCCAGGGGCCCGCAGTGCATGACAGGGGGATATGTCTCGGCAAGTGGTCCCCAGTCGGTCAAGGACTTTGTTTGATGAGGTTCGAAGAGGGACCGGAGGACCCCGCGGGACAGTGATCAACGGCACGATTGGACTCGGACCCGGCCCCCATCCGTAGTGCCATAACCTGAAACGTCAGTCAGATGGCTTCTATTAGGTCCCTCTTGCTCAGGTTCTGTATCCCTATTTTTGGAGCCTCGACACTGAGCCGAAAAGCCGGCTCCATGTCCGTCTGAGCCCTTGGGACCCATTTCACAAGCAGGAATGAGGCCGGGACCCGCAATTTGCAACGTTCGGGGTCCCTGACACAATGAGAAACCCCTGTGTCGGTCAGGGGTCAGCTGCGCGGGTCAGAAGGCCTGCCGCATCAGGGAGCGGATCAATGTGACAATGTATCACTGTAAGGACCTCCCGTGGGCCAGGGGATGCCGCCCCGTGTAGCCAGCATGACGGTCGGACGACACACCGCGGTGGGACAGAATGGCGCTTCAACACTGCTGATCTCTGGAAGTCCTAAAATTGAATGCGGCTGAAAATGAGTTATAATACCGTAAACAGCACGTCAAACATTAACATTGACAGATTTTCAGAGAAAACTCGCTGATCACACCCATTGTTAGTGCGTCATAAGGCTCCAATAACTTCGAGCAAAATGGAACGGGTCTGGGTCTGAATGTAAATGCAAACATAATTGTCGACTCTCGTGCTCGCGAGCACGATTTCCAGACATAACGGCCGTCCATTGGCTCTCAGTTAGTGCCGTGTTAAGTACGATGATATAATCAAGCAATGGTGTATTGAAAAGCATGTGTACTAAGCAGAGATATTGTGCTATCTAGGACAGACTTCCCCTTTAAAAGCATATCAGCCACTAAAAGTGAGCTTATTCCATCATACCTGATGGAATAACAAATGTGGAACATTTCCTCTAATGGTGACAAGATGATCCGTGTAGTGTGATAAACTCTGACTGGTGAAAACTTAAACCTGTTGAATGTATTGCATCAAAATAATCCTTAGTGAGAAAGTTATATTGCAATTCTTGCCTCCAGAAGCACGGGTTGACGAGCAAGCCATTGCTTGTGACGTCGTATTTCCGCGACGCAACCGAGCATTATAAAGATGTGTCCATCTGACCAATGGCCAGCAACAGTTTGCGCGTTTTACTTGTGCGGACCGCTAAATGTCTTCTGATGGGCTGATGGGTCTTGCGAGTTAGTACACCATCAAGTCTTTTACCGTAACACTACATTGCATACTGCAATGAAACACATATCGATGCTTGTGGAAGGATGTTTTACTGTCTCTCCGGTTTCGGTAAAAATCTTGACAAACTTAAAACGTGATGCATTTCAAAACACTCTGGGAGATAATAACATCAATGTCTGGCGTATAAGACGAAGACTGGCTTTGCTTTGCTTGGCCTCGCTTTTGGCTTGGCTTGCTTTAAGCTTGCCCAGCTTGGCTTTCACGCCGCGGGCCGCGGGCACTGTCAAGGGCTTTTGCAACATCGTCTGTGAGCTTATCGGCTGCTATTCCTCTCACTGATCTTCTGTTTCTTCAGTCTCGTCATCGTCAGTGGTTCCAGCTGGCAAATCGTCACGAGGGTGTCACGGAGCGCGCAAACGATGCAGATGCGTGCATGCCTCCTAACATCCGACTGGAGGAGCGTGAGTCAGCTTCACGATTCCCTCTACCCAAAAAAATCGAAGATTAAAAAAGTACATGACCAGCACAGCTGAGCGTATTCAACATCAAGTAAATTATTCATCACGCATGCTTAGTCACCGCCTACCAACATATCAGATAGTAACTATCACGCCATTTTCTTTCAAATATTTTGTTAATAAGTGCGTGCCATATATAGCATGTATCTACTATTATCCATACCTGTCTCAGTCTCGCTGCCGTCGTCGCTCGACAGGAGTGGTTGCTGCTCACTGTCGCCGCCAGGGGCGCTATCTTCGTCAGCATAAGTGTCGCCACCGGCACCAGGCAACGGCATGAGATAGCCAAGGGCCGGCGACAGATGGCGTCCTGCCTCTAGAGCATTGGCCATCGACGTCTGCACGTACCTGGGCGCAGGCAGCGTCGTCAACGGCGCTGACTCTAGTGCACGCGTCACGTGCGTTATGCCATCTTTGCGCCCAAGACGGATCCAAAACGAAACCCAAATTCCCATACGAAGCACGCAGCAGAAAAAGCTGTGCAGGCAACTACGGCCAAAAGAAACAAGACATTGAGAGTCACATATTGCGCACACAAAAAATGTAGGTGCCTTTTCTAGCCTTATGGACAGGGTGTTAAGGTGTTTTGGGAAGTGTTTGCCCGTGTTCAGCGAACAATTTAGGATGAGAACAGACCGCACCAATATAAACCGACTCGATGTGTAATGTGAGGATTCCTAGCGGTGTTGTCCCATCACTCAGAATTACAGCCACAAAATGAAGGCTACGCGGGCGTGACCAGGCTCCAGTGAAAAACCGCAAATGTTCGCAGATTACCACTTACCGGTATAAAAGCATCAGGATGCATTTAACGCCCATCGTGCAAAATAGTACAGCAACCAGCATCGCTACTGTCGACGAAAGAAAAGCCTTCACCTACGAATATGGAGAAGTAAAATCACAGGTGGGTAATTTTCTGACATCATTGCGCATAATAAGATGCTGTAAACCAGCTGGTAGTCCCTGTGAGCATCAAGTCACGCCTGCTCATGGCGCGACGGGACACGTAGAACCCATACAATGGCCCACTAGTACAGCGGAAATCACAAAGAAAGCGGTTGTCCTGCTTTCCCCGAAGGGAGAACTCGCATCGGTCCAGACTTACAGCACTTAAAAATATACCTCCAAAACATTCCTAGCTGTGCTGTCGCTCAGCTATCTGCACCAATGGCGACCGATGCTTCAGCAAAGCCCAAACATCGACCAGAGCAATACAAACGAACTGCAGCGATTGCCGCCTCTGAGCAGGGGCGGTACCGAAGGCCGCGTGGAACTTCACCTTATACGTGCAGCCGACGTGGTGGACACCCAGGCGCTTGGCCGGCTCGTAGTTGTACCAGGGGAAGGTGGCGTACATCTGGTGGCACCAGGTGGCCGCCGTGGGATTGCAGCAGCTGTGCGGCACTTCGGCGAACGCCACCTCCGACTTGACGTGCAGCAAGGCAGCCAGGAACTCGCCGCTCTTGAACTCGTAGTCCATCGCCATGACCACCTGGCACCCGGCCAGCCACAGGAGCGGCTCAACAACGGAGCCCGGTCGGGCGCGCTGCTAGTGCAGCAGCGAGTATGTACGGCGGTGGGGCTAGTGAGGTCGTTGGAGTTCTTTACGGGCGTCTGGAGGGCTTATCGCCACGCATAAGTGGCTTGCATGTTAAACGTATTGCCCTTTGTGATAAAGCTACCTGAATCTCTGCGGACATTAACAGAGGTGTTTTTCGAGCCGGAATTTGCGTTCACAAAGCCGTTGCGCCTCGGATTCAGGAAGCCTAATTACCACCTGGGCGTCGGACGCCCAGCTCTAGTTGAGAACGCACGGCCGCCGCCCGATTGAGAATCCCCGTTAGCCACAGAGTTGTGAGTTAGTGCCATGGCCAGGTCTGCCGGCCAGCCAATGGCAGCCGACGGTTAGAGGTCAATGTGGCGCGAGAGGCGAGTCGAAGCGGTCGCCTGTCTAAAGCATGGCAGGTGGGAGAGACCAGCCTACTGACAGCGAAATACGGCAGCCGACGACAGGTGAACTGAACACGGATATGGCTGAGGCAAGGCAGCAACGAACAATATGTTTGGGATTTTTAATGTTTGGGACCCTCGCTTGGTGGGGATGTTCCGACTGACAGGCATGTTCGCTCACTGGACGAACGTTCCCCCGAGAGCGAAGCGTCCCATGGAGAACGGAGCGTGCCCTCGAGAACAATACCCACAGTACCTACTCTTTACCTGCAGATAATGAGCTTCTGTTCCGTAAGCTCCAATCGAAAACGACTCGATGAGAGCACTCGAGTTTGGGTACTTGTCCTTGGCCAGAAATACCTGCAACATTTTGGGCGCATCGCTCGCTGCTGTCCCCAAACGTGTAACGCGCCAACAACGACAGGAAACCAACGCGAGCAATCAGTAGTGCTGTAGCAATGCAGTAGTTCTGCACTTCTCTTTATTAGCCAGCTGCCTAACCGGTGGCAGGTTTTACCACTTAGGAGCCCTAATAGTACTTTCGATCAAGACCCCGCGTCTTCACCTTGAAGGACGCACCTTTTTGGCCATCTGGTTTCTCTGGTTGGCAGCGACCTTATAGCGCTGCTGGTACAGCTGACGGGGGTACCAGTCCACTACGAACCAGTCTGAGTAGCCCTGGCTGCCGCAGCACGCAAAGTCCTGCTGCACCCTGTCCACGTACTCCTTCTTCACCTGGACCTGCATGTACTCCCACATGACGCGGGTGAAGCCCCGCTGGTACGCCTCCTCGAACACGTCTACCTGTCAGCGGACAGCCACAGTTTAGACGCGGCCCTGCATTCCCCATTTTGGCCACTCTCCGTCAGGAACGTGGGAGAAACGTCTCCCGAAACTTTCAGAACGCGAGAAATTGTCCCCCGCAGCCCCTGGGAGATTTGAAATTGCCGAAGACATGTACACGCGTTCTAGTGAAGCGAGCAAAAGCACTAAATCCTACACAGCCCGATGAACGTACTTGACACAACCTCCACAACGTCGTGGACATAACGAACCAAAAGCACACTTCGCGAATCTTCCCATTTCACCGGACATCACATTGTAGGCAAATATGGATTCCAGTGTGCAGTTGCAACTGGCGTAAGTGCGATGACATATCGGTTGCTGTTTCCAGCATCGTTGCCCCGCCTCAGTCGGTGAGAGCACCTCCCTCCCAGCCCACCCGTGGCGCGTGGGCGGGTTACAGCCTCTTCGCCGCTCACTATTTGTCCCCCCCCCCCCCCCTGCTGAGATGGCTTGCGGCCGGCGACAGCGGCCGCTCAGGGTCGCATGAGGTCAGAGGGCAGGGCGGCCCGTGTCGAGTAGTGCTACATGACAAACTGTCACCAGAAAAGCGTGCCGTCGAGCTGGAACCTCACGAGCGACGTTGGGGCCAGGCTCAAGCAGCCAGCACTGAGCAGTGATTTGTGTACGCTCTGATCTCAGAAACCCATGCAATCAAACTGATGACACTCAAACAACTTTGTAAAAACCTTCAAAGGAAATATGGCCACTGCTTTGTCTGGCACACAAATTAAAGGGAGTGTTTTATATTTGTATGGTGCTTTGAACTGAAAAAGCCATCTTGAAGACCTTTCGGTGCTGTTCACAATCATGCACTTCTTAAGAGCTAAGCAAGCCCCTCTAGTTTCTGAGCTATATGGCCGTGAAAATGAGGAGAGTATTTCAGGTGGAGTATTTCAAAGTCGCCTTCAAATTCATGACTTCGTTTTAACGTCATTCACAGGCATTCATATCTGGCCTTCGCGAAGGCGAAGGTACGATGACGTAATCAAACCATGACGCATATTTACTAACCAGAAAATTTGGATGTCTGGGGCAATCTTTCCACTTAAAAACCGTACCAATAGTTATAAGTGAGCTTGTCTTATGATATCTGCTGCTTGATTCAATATCTTCAATGGCTTAGCTGCTTCCAACCCCAAACAACGGCTCTCTGAGCAGATTACGTACCGACTATTAGAATATGTCACTTATGCGCCGCTCACCCTATCATGAAACAAAGCGACGAGTATTTGATTTGTGTTCTACGCCTCAGCCACGTAAGTTTGCTGTTGTGATTGTGCCGCGCCATTTGATCACTTTCATTGTTTATCACGCGAAGTAAATGACACAATGCACGCTTCTACACTCGTTTCTTGCTCGAGAGTTTCGTTCCCAGCAGCGTTTGTCCATTTCAACACTTGCGCGCGCTTGCATGTAAAATTCACGCCCTGGTCCACGTGTAAAAGTCACACTCTGGTCCACGTGTAAAAGTCACGTTCTGGTCCACGTGTAAAAGTCACGTCCTGGTCCACATGTGAAAGTCACGTTCTGGTCCACGTTGTGGTATCGAGAGCGGAGGCCAGCGGAGGAAAACCGTTTTGTACTTACCGTGCATTACCATTTCTGAACCAGTAAATGATAAAATAAATCTGGCGATGACCCCGACAATGCCAATGTGGACACTTACCTGAAGAAGGAACACGATGCCGAGGGAGAGCAAGTAGATGACGGTAATGAACTCTATCAGCAGGTAAGCGTAGCCGAACTTGACTGCTACCCTCCTGCCTGACCGACGTCGCTGTCTGGCAGACACTCCAGACATCACAGACATGCAGCTGTCGTCAGAAACGTACGGTCCGTCACACTTCAGAACATGCGAGTAAAAGTCAACGATCTAATGTGGGAGAAACACACGGTCTCGACACTTGGGAGACTCAACGGTTAGTTTCTGATCATTTTCTGGTTTTCTGCTTTTCATCACATGAAGCCGAGCGCGCTTTGGCATAACAGGACAGTGCATGACCAAGAGCGGCCTCATCGGCAGCTGACTGCCGCACCTGTTGGGAAGTGCGGTGACATTTTACCGCACCTGTGGGGTAGTGTGGTGACATTTTACCGCGACTGTTGGGAAGTGTGGTGACATTTTATATCTGACTTGTCAAGTTGAGAATGACGTGGCTACAGTCGTGTGAGCCTGCGTCACCTGCACGTCATGACCGCACTCGAACATTGCTAGAGCGCTCTAATCTTAACCGCATGACCAAGTTGTGACGATCAGTGGTGGGCTATTTCTCTAAGCATTTAGAGACTTGTCGATGTCCTCAAAAACTAGGCCACTTCATGTGAGTCAAAATTGCGCTGCTGCGCGCCCTTTCCAATGAAAACGGGGGGAAAGCAGCAGATGCCTTTCATCTTAAGAATGGAATTCGCGACGAAGGCAACCAGGGGCGTGCGCACGTAGTGGCATCCAGAACAAGTCAGGTGCCGCCTCCCCTCACCAAATTTATGGCATAGATAAATATATACGTAACATAATGTTGACAGTTGAAAATCACTGGTAGACACGTAAAAATAGCATCAACAACAGGTAATGTTACCAACAGGCAAGACAATGCGGGCGCCTGTTTCTCGTTGACCTCGGCTTTCAGTACGTACAGCATTCTTATTGGTGCCACCCCCACCCCATTGTGAAATCCTTTTTCTTCTCCTGTACGCAACTCACCTCGACACGAGCGTGGCAACACTGGCGGCAATGAGGCCGTACGGGAATAGATCCGAATCGACACTCTGGCCGGTCACAATGTGGTGCTGCTGCAGATACGGCCGCACGTAGAAGCTAAGACCGAGCAGTGCCAGGCCCATCTGACACAGCAGCAGGCTGATTAAGATCAGCACAAACGTGGTACACTGGCGAGATCTCTCAGAGACCAACACAGGCGGACAACCGCGAGATCCGCCAGATGGCATGGTTCAGCTGGTCAGCTATTACCACGAGGTGTGATTTTTAATGGACGAGCCACTACAAGTCCTGGTTAAGTGCGTTCCTCGGCAGTGAGATTCAAGCAGATTCCTTTATCCTGTGTCAGACTTCTTAGATTAGATCTTGAGGGCCTTCACAAAGTTCAGACGCAGGTATTATCCGAATGAAGACTGAACATTATTGACGCAACTGACACGCATGTATTACATATTCACACATGCACACGCACATTTTGCATCTGTTTATCCCTAGAAAATCTGAACGCAATGTTTTATGAGTCATTGCTTACAATAAACGTGCCTGATGTGGAGGCAGCTTCCGTGATTTTTAGCTTGCAATGTTTTTTTTCAAGCCTTAGCCTGTATTTCGCGATTATCATAATGATAAACATGACCTCGATTTATTCGTCTCTGCCACTGGAATTTGGTAAACAATTGCTACCTCTTGCAGCGATGATAATAAGCTGTAGGGAACTTAGCATCTTTGGCATAGCTTGAAAAGCCTAATCAGCATCATATGATCTTCCGTGGCTTATGCATCATGCATTTATGATTTCCCCTGAAGCTTCATAAGTCTAAGTCGTGCTAGGCCACATGCCCCGATTTGGGAACGCCATGGTGGACCAGAATTTGGCTACACATAGCCTTACCTAAAAGTAATGTTCCGGAGCTTAGCTGCTTCTTTTTTGTTCGGTTTCCATGGCCTACAAAACACTTGAAGTCATCGTCGGACGCTCACTAAGTTGACCTCAAGTTGTGAATGTTGGCAGGGCATGTTCTAGAGCCAACCTATGAGCCGTTAATATTCTATTCAGCCGTAGACTGGACTAATTTGAAGCTGACAGCCTGACCCCCTACGTCTAATGCTTTTTTTCTACACTGAGTTAGCTTAAGGTCACCCGCTTCATCTTTGGACCGCGCCGTTTGTAACGCTTCTGGCAGTGTAACATAATGGTCACGTAAAATTGCATCATCCTTTACTTGATGGTGTGACTGTTACACCTATAAGTGCCACGCGCCCCCTAAACTTATCATATCTCAATGACAGAAAAAATGGTTTAGTGCCTTGCAGCATACTGACAAGGAAACTCTATGTGCTTGCGCAGTTCAGCATTGTGACTGGCTTATGAGCCTAGCAATATAACCTTCACAAGAAAATGTGCCACACGACCTCATTTTTGACCTCCAATCTAAAACCTACCTTAGGAGTCTTGTTCTGAATCACAATGGTTACATAACAGCGCATTATATTGACACTCAGCTGAAGGCGTTTTGGTCTTCACGAGGAAATGGTCTGCCTCCGTGAAATGGTCTGCCTCCGTGAAATGGTCTGCCTCCGTGAAATGGTCTGCCTCCGTGAAATGGTCTGCCTCCGTGAAATGGTCTGCCTCCGTGAAATGCGATGTGGCGAGGAGCCGCGTAGATCTATAGATTACGAGCGATGGCTAAAACCTGGACTTTTGCACTGCCGGTTCGTAGCTTCAAGATCTAAAGTATCAGTCATGATTTGGGTTTAGGAACGTTCGAATGTTTGATCACACAGTGAGTATTCGGTGTAATCAGCGAAAACACGCAATGATATGTGGGCAGGTGGCCATATTGGTATCATTAAGGTATTTTGAGAATGTGTAATCCTAACCGGTAGCTTTGTCACTGCCTGTGGCTGACGATGCGAAGGTGACACTCAAACGTTTCAAATTGCACCATTGTATTAGGCCAGTCTCAAGACAAGCACAGCAAGACATGCAACACCATTTCGATTCTTACGCTGCTACTCACCATCTGAAAAGTCCCTTTTGTAGCCCAGTGCTCCAAGCCTGCTATACATGAACAGCCTTTCACTTCCCAATTTATGCTTGACACATTTCCAATCTCGTATTACTCGCATCGTAAAATAATACAGCAATACCGCAAATGCACAGTAAACCAGCCACCATTAGCCACTCTGAGTATGTCCACAAACCTCAGGTCTACACTTTTCGACGTCGTTCGGAGCAGCTTGCAATAGATCACGCATGACCAAAAATTACAAAAATAGTGTTTTTGGTCACTTCGGAAGCCATTTTTCTGGCTGTAGAGTTTCGCAGCTCAACATGCCTGAACGCCACACTTGACATCGAACTTGTCATAGACGTTGAGAAAAAAATTGTGTATGTTTGCAGGCATCTAGGAGTAAAATGGATACACTGTCTCCTGAGGAAACTCACGTGGTGCACGTCCTGCGTCGCAGTGCCTGTTGATTATCCCAGCGGCGGAGCGAGGATTTGCGTACAGGGGAATTTTTAACTTCCTGTTGGTATTCCTCTATAATGAAAAAACCAAAAGGGCGGGCTTAAGAGGATGGGTGCATTTCCCCTCCTCATTCGCTCCGCCTCCAAATTGTCCTGCCTGTACAGTCTGCCGGACCGCTGCCCTCCATCGTGTATATGGTTTGGCCGTCGAGATCCTTCAGTCAGCATGAGCTCACGTCATCAGATCACCGTGGGTTCCACGTCACAAAGCGAAGACAGATCTGCGTCAAATGTCTCCCCTCCGGTCACGTGTACTATGCTGACATTGCTCCCACGGCTGGAGACATCCATCTCTGGCGCCGTGCAGTCGCAGCGGACATTTCCCGCACTATAGCTTCGTCGCATGGGCGCCCGGCGTCGCTTCATCTGCCGCACGGTGCAGCGTGCGCGCGGCGCCTTCCATGCCCCGCTTGTAGGGAGATGGTCCCACGATGGATGAGCCGCTTGCAGCCACACGGTGGGAGGACTGTCATCTTTTGGTGGCATTTCGTACTCGTGCTTTCGTGCGCCGGCGCTACCGCAACAGTTCTTGAAATTTGATTTCGGCTGAAGTTCGGTGGTTCCGCTGACGGACTTCAGATGCGAGCGGGTCACATTCAGGACGCATACGGCGCAGGCGAGCAGGAGAAGGCAGCAGGCCAGCGCTGCCACCAGCGAACCCAGCAGGTACGCAGGACATCCAGATGTCGTCCCAAGCGTGGTACCCGGCTCTCGGGCACTTTGCACGCCTTCTGTGGGACGATAAATAGTTTTAGAAAAGCATGTGTATTTTTTGGTGGTTACTCGTCACATGTTAACAAGCCTACTAAGTTCATGTTTTCATGAAAGGCTCGGTTTCAAGAGCTAAAGCTACTACAGAGAGTTTGGATGATCTGCCTAAGGTAAAGAGATGTACACATTACCCTTGGCTCAAAAATCATTTTAGCACCGACTTCCTTTTGTCTTTGACCTTTTTAAACAGCAAACAAGCTAACTGCCTCCTGAGGCGCAAACTGGCTCATTGTCCGGTTGAGCCCACCTGACCAGCACCATCTCCAGACCTGATCCACAGGCCACCACGTCTCCGTCCCCGTCCCCGCACCTGTGGACGGCAGGGGCAGCGCCACGCGGAATGCGACATCTCTGCTCCAGTTGGTGGTGTTGTGGTCGGGTTGGTTGAGCGCGCGCCGCCGGCGGCGGCCGTAGCCGCGTCCCCGGTCCGGACAGGCCGTCTGTTGGCACGACACGTGCGCAGTGTGGTGACCGCGACCGAACGCCAGCACCGAGGCGGACGCCGGTTCGATTCAGTAACGTTGGGAGCGATATGTGCACGTGCCGCGTGTGGGCTTCGGGCCACAGTGTGGCCGTCGAACACAATGGGCTCATTTCATTCGTCACGTGGTCAGTATGACGGTCGCAATCAGCGTTGTAGCGATTCGCCAGCATTGGTAGTTACTAACACGGGGTTCGCCGCTCCTTGGCGCTTTGTCACCATTCAGTGGAGGGAAGAGGCCCATCATTTGCGCGATCCGGTAATCATTAAACATCGCCATGCCATTGAGCTAGCATTGGGCGTGCTCGGAAACATTTAGTGAGGTGGTCTTACCACACTTGCACACTCATACAGTGGGGTTAGCCGTGCAAGTGTCTCAATATCTGCCGAAGAACAGAAAGAGCCACCGTTCCCCGAACCCGCGAATGGCCCTCACATGCAAAGGCCTGCAATGGCAAGTCTGACACCGGGGCCAAGTACCAGTAAAAATACCCAACACCAATGCCGACGGTAAACCCAGCCCCGCTCACAACGCAACGATTACAACATGTGGCCGCTCGCAGGGGCAACCTCAGGAGGATTTAACGGAGAGACGCCGCTCAAATTGTTTTGAGCGTCTTAAAACAACATTGGCTGTTCTAGATCTTCATTTTTGGGTGCCCGCCTGAAATTTTTGTGGCAATATTTAGTCACATACTGATGCATATTTTGACTTTGGTAAGGGGGGGGGGGGCGCGCTCCCGAGGGCTGCAGTGTTGTACGCCTTAGGTCGTTCACGAGAAAAAATCTTCACACTTGTAGTCAACGCATGAGCGGCCTGTCCAGACTGGACCAGCGGCCAGACTGGACTGTCCAGACCAGCGGCCTTGTATTGGCCTGACAATTGCCATGTGGCTGCGATCTGCCTGCCCGAGTCCCAGCTTACCGGGGCACAGTCGATGGCCTCGACACAGCCGGTGACCTGGGCGCTGACCCGGATCTGGTCCCCTGAGGTCATGCCCTGGAAAGTGAAGGCCCGAAACGGGAAGTTGGCGATCAGCTGATTTTTCTCGTGACGTGCAGGGTGCCCTGGCGCCAGAATCTGAAAAGCGGGCCAAATGCCAATGTGACATCGTAGGAAGACCTTGAGAAGAGCTTGGTTTGATTTGCCTTCCTCCCTCGCACCCGCGGGGGTATCCTAAGATCTGTTCGTTGCTGAACATCATCAAGTCTGTGGCTCTGAGCGTAACAAAAATTGCTCGTTGTCAAACACGAGAGAGCCCTTGTTTCCATAGCAACAATTCGTTTAGTTTACACGGCACTGTTAGCCCTATTTCTCATAAAATAACTGAGTGAAAGACTAATATTAATTTCGATAAAGGCATATCACCGAAATATTAATACATCTATCTCTCCTTTCTCCTGGTTATTTCATGAGGAATATTATAGTACCACTATTTTATGAGGAATATTATGGTACCACTATTTTATGAGGAATATCATAGTACCACTATTTTCTGAGGAATATTATAATACCACTATTTTATGAGGAGTTATACAATATCGCAGGTATTGTACTATCTACATGCATGATGTTTCCAACAAATGGTTTTAATAAAATACGCAATCAAGAGCCATTGTTGTCAAGCACGAGCGAAAGTGCGACATAAGGATAATCATTTCTTGTCGGGCACGGGGTCTGTGCCATACCGAGATTCATTCACTGTCGAGCACGAGCGGGTCTGTGACACACCAAGAACCATCCGTTGTAGAATGGTTCTAAAGAACACGAAGAGGGTCTGTGTCACGTCGAGAACCATTCCTTGTCGAAGACGAGCGGGTCTGTGACACACCGGCAATGATTCGTTGTGGAACACGGAGTGGGTCTGCGACGTACCGAGAACCGTTCGTTGCGACAGCCGTCGTCGAAGACGAGCGGGGCCGTGTCGGTCGGCAGCCGGCTGCCGTCGACCGACACCCTCTCCACCAGCACGTCCGTCAGCTTACTGTACCGCCAGCCTGCCGTGCCGTCAAGCGCTCAACCGCCGTCCACACTACATCATCAGGTTGGAATTCAAAATAAGACGCTGTGATCTAGCGACATTCTATGGCTCCATCGAGACCAGCGTTGCTAGATGTTACCCGTTTACGCGTTCGACATGAAAATGCAGCGCTTTAATCGAACCGTATTCAAAGCCATAGAAAAGTCATTGGAGATTTATCAACGGCGACAGGGAAATCCAGCTCTTCATTAGTGTGAGTGTGTCATGTCACTGGGGCTGTACGACGCATTCAGTTGCTGAGGCTATATGGCGTCGCCTGCCTCTCACCCTGGCAGGAAGGGCGGGCACCGCGGGGAATCGAACCTCGTAAATCTGGTTTCTCAGACGCGCAGTGGTTAACGAAGACGCGTTAACCATTACACTACTGGCACCCCTGCCCTTCATTAAATAATAATCCTTTGCCTTCAGATCGGAAACCTTGGCGGAATTTCGCGACCAATCTGGATCAGAACATCTTCAGAAGTACCTTTACCTTTCCAGATTGTAAATTCCCGCCGGACACTCACCATCTCCGGAACGGATGATGCTGCGCAGGTGGAGCTCCTCCCCCAGCTGCACCGTGTCGCCCACCGACACCAGCGTGGAGAACATCTGGGAGCCTGGAGTCAGCCGGAACAGCGCCACCTCGCACTCGAACCGCTGGTGCCCGCCGATGAACAGCACCGGCGAGAGCTCGTCAAACCTGGCAACGCCGGCCTGACGCTGATATGATGTCACATGTGCTCAGGAGCATCTTGTAACCGTGGCCACAGAGCCGCGGTGGTGATTTCACGTTATGGTTGTTCATGACAGGCTCGTGTCATCCGACCGCAGCGGCGCAGTGACGTCACGGGATCACAGGAACGTATCATGTGCCGATCCACAGCGATCTCTTCAGGTTTGGACTAGTGCTGTATGGTAGGTAACCAAAGGAGCTGTCCGCAAATGTGCAAAGGTGGACATCCAGGGACGTCCATCTACCTCAATGCACACATATTTTTTTGTCTTTGTGTGGGTCAAAGAATCTAAAGGAGGATAAATAGCGCCTCGCGAACATCGGGCTGTTCAAAGCTCAACGAGCTCCACGCCCGGCAATGGACTTTTCGAGCGCATTTCCTGTATATGTTTGGTCAGACCTTCGCATGGCTGAGCATTACCATTTTGCGATTGTTTTCAGGTTTAAATTCAGGTTAACATTATGTGATGCTGTAATGCGCTGGTAGAGAGAGAGGGATATATATATATATATATATATATATATATATATATATATATATGTATGTATACATATATAAAGATAAACTGCCGGCTGTGGCATTTGTGCTAGATAAAACAGATTCATATCTTCATTGTGTAACAGGGGAAACGTGGTGTGGAAACCGGTTCCAGTTAGATCCTGTCTCCGCAGCGATGGAGCTGTCAGGCCGCTGTTTCAGTCAGGCGGCCTGACAGACAGGTCAGGTCAGGTCAGGTCAGTCAGTCAGTCAGGTCAGTCAATCAGGCGGCCTGACAGGCAGGTCAGGTCAGGTCAGTCAGACAGCGATAGGGTGCTAGGACTTATATTTTACACATCTCCATAGATTGTTAAAAGCTGGGCTGAGGCTTGGTGTAGCGCTTCCTCCTCCCCCCCCCCCCCTTATGTTCCTCCCTTCCCTTCATTTCAGGGATGTGCACAAGTGTTGGAAAAAATACATATAGGAGTTCAGTCACATGATGGTAACCTGTCTTCTTCGTCTTTACAAGCTACACAACTTACCCGACAAACAGAGGGTTTTTCAAGCCCCTCGCTCCTGCTTTGGAGTTCCACCTGGGACGGATCCACTACGTTAGGACGGCAGAAGCCTGCCCAGCAGCGCCTCTAGCGGATCAATAATGAAGCCGACCTTCTGATCACCACACCCCCGGTGCGGTCGAGCTCAGCTTAGGTTCACTGTGTACACGAGGCTTAGGCTTAGCAAAGCATAAACAGGTGGAGACGATTCACGGGGATATTTAAAACGGAGTTTAATGTACCCTTTGTGAAGCACTGTTTGCAGAGAATACAAACACTGCCAGACCAAGGCAGTGTGGAAACATCTCTTGCTGAACGCACTTTATTACTGACAAACAGGCTATCGTGCGGGATGTCTGCAAACTTTCCAATTCAGCGCCCAAATTTTTGGGTCCGGAATGATGGGTTCGTTGGTCAAGTAGTCAGTTGATGAGAGGCTGCTTCTAGGACCACAAAAATGAAGTCCGTCTGTTTTTAAAAGTTCATGCTGCAAGCAGGCGCTATAAAAGATAATTAAGAAGAGAAGGCGCCAGTTCTGCGCAATGAATAAGACAATCCAAGAATTGCTGACTGTCTGTCTTCTGGATTGGCTGAGTAATTGTTTAGCGTGAGCAGCTCTGCTGTGGCTGCAAGATCTCGTCATTGCTGTTCTGTAATGTTTCACTTCGTCTTGACTTTGCTATTGATGGCCATTTGTGGCTTTCATTGAAAAGTAATGGACAATGTGAGAAAGACGGTCCACGTACTTGATTACTCGTGTGTCTGATCCCCCGAAATAAACCCAGGTGTCGTACCGACGCTTTGCGTCCATACGGACTGAATAAGCACGTAAACAACTGAGCCCGGACAAACCGACAATTGGCTCTCGGCCGTTCACTGTGTTCTCTAGAGCCTTTTCTCCCAGTGCGCTTCCGAGTTTATGAAGGAAATGTCAGCATCGTGCTGCGTGCTTTTATTCAAATATCCACACCTCAGCAGCAAACAACTCCTCACTCCCAACAAATGCATGCTGAGAATCAAGCTAAAACCACAAAGCCCTCCAGCCACCACTCGAAGCCACGCGCACCAACAGCAGAAACAAGGCAATCAGCCTGAAAGTATCGTGATTAGCTGAGTGTGACGTAAGGAGGACGTCACTCACCCGGTCGCCTGAATATCTAGTTGTTTTCCGACTGTTTGGCTTCGGTCCTGTGGCCGACACTGAATGCGTATGACGTCATCCTCTGGTAGATGTATTCCAGCGATTCGCGGGAAACGGATGGTGAGGCAGAGCCATCGCTGCCAATGGACGAAACAGAATGCACCATAACTGCCGCCTGATCGAGTGAAAAATGCTAGGTCCGATGACGGAAAACATTTAAGTGCAGCATCAGCAGTTCATGTCGATTGAGCAGAAGGGCAAGTCTGATATCAAAAAGAGGCTCGATTACTCTCAGAAATATTCATAGTTGTCAGATGACAGGATCCACCAGCAGAGCAGAGCCCAGTCCAGTGCCCAAAGAGTAAATTCGTCGGCAATGACAATGGTCCACGATTTCAAGGTCAGTCTTGGCTGCCATCCTTTGCATGCACCCTTTCTCTGTACCTGTACACCCTCTCTTTTATCTTCTTTGTTTCCGATAGCTTTCTTGTGTGACGTTCTTTGTACACAATCTTATCCCCCTCTTAATATTGTCATTTATGCCTGCCAACCATTTTCCACGGCCTACCCTGCACGCTGGATACAGCCTTCCAACCCCCCCCCCCCCCCCCTCCCGTGCCGGTGATGGCGCCGGCCCACCTCGCCGTTCTCCTGGGTGCACGTCTCCACGCCGCAGGCGTCCAGACTGCGCACGGTGAGCGTCAGGCGCTGGCCGCCCTCGGGGCTGAGAGCGCACAGCGCCGAGTTGAACGGGTTGAGCGCCGGACGCAGCACCAGCACCGGCGGCGCCGACACCGGCCGCGCCGAAACCAGCGTCGCCTCCAGAAGCTCCCGCGACGGCGCCTTCAGGCAGCGGATGTCTGCCAACAAGCGGCAATGGCTGAGGTGAGGCACATTGGCAGGTGAAGCGCGGGCAAGGGAATGGTGAGGTGAGCGTTTTTATCTTCCTTCGGGCCGTCATTATGTCGACCCGCAACTAATCATATAATTGACTAGCCACTGCAACAAAGTTTTGTTAGACCGACAGACTACAGTTTCAATTTTTTTTGTAAAGAAATGTGATATTTTGTTCGTAGCACTTAAACAAAACCCCCGAAACGTTGGCTGATCGTGCTGTGCCTCTGGTCTGCTGCATCAGATCTCTCCGATCTTCACAGTGTGAATCGTTTTTCAAAACATCATGTACAGGTTGTCACAAGCGGCTTACTTGTGGCTTCAACACCGCCGGTTCCCGTGGGTAGGGGCGGGGCCGGCCCGAGCGTCACTGGGGCAGGCGGTATAGGTGGCGTCACGGCCGGTGGAGCAGGTGGCGCCGCGGTCGGCGGGGCGAGGGAGGCTGCAGTTGGAGGAGCAGGTGGCACTGCAGTCGGCGGAGCAGGCGGCAGAGGACCCACCGGGCCCGGCGGAGATGGCGGTAGCACTAATTCTGTGAATGGATATAGAAAGTGAGAGAACTGTCCGATTACAAATGCGATTTTGTGCGATTCATTCGTCTAAGAGGCGTGACGGTGGATCTGCAAGAACGTTGTAGAACTGAAGCCTTGAGAAATCACGCCCATCAGGAAACGTTATCACTTGGCGGCGGTACCTTCCTAGCCCAAGATTCCCCACCTCGTGCACCTACTGGCTTGTGATCTTACCGCTAGGCGGCGGAGCAGGAGCCGACAGCGCTCCTGGTGGCAGCGCCGGCGGCTGTCCCAGCACCCCAGGGGGCGGCGCCGGCGGGAGCAGGAGGGGCGGCGCCGGCGGTTGCGGCTGGCTGACGGACACCACCGACCGACCGGGGAAGTAGACGGGGGCCGGCGAGCCGCGAGCCGAGCTCAGCTGGTCGGAGGAGCCCGGCATGAAGCGGCGCGAGAACTGACGAGACTGGCGCCTGCCCAGGCTTGGGACCGGCGCTGTGGTGTTGGGGCTCACCTGCGGAGCATGCCGCGAGGCAGATGACTCTCTTCATCGGATCACCTTTTTAAATGAAATTAGATACAACTGCAGTAATACCTCAAGCGATCAAAGCGAGGATACTGAGGGGAAGTGATGAGTCTTGAACATTAGAATCTCGGTCGTGAGTCCCGAGTCTCCCATGAGCAACAGCCATCCTGATTCCATTCGTCGACATCCACTAAAGACAGCAGACACCTTTGGGCTGTGGCCTCAGAAAGCAAGGCACGTACGGATTCCCCAAAGCGGGAGTCCCAACCGAGACATTGCAATCTGCGATATGCAGCCTAAGAGTGCCAAATCATGACATATTTCAGATTGCATATGGCGTAATCAAAGAAGGGAACAACAAACAATATGCATCTCAACTTGCAGAATGCAAGGACTTCCATGTAGCACTTCGATCGCAAAGGTTGGACAACTTACGCATTTGTTTCCGGTTCTGAAAATGAACATGGGTACATTGCAACAGCAGGTGCTATATGTAGTCCTGCAGCTCTGTTTTACGCATGTATTTACCGCGATCTTACCTTGGCATTTTCCATGGCACTGACTAGGGCATCTGACAGTGACGCAATATCTGTTGCGTCCAGAACGCACATCGTCAAATACAGCCCCTGCAACAAAACAGGTGATCGGGAAATGCATCGTTTCACCAGAGCAGACTCGACTAAAAATAGGTTGCTGAAATACACGTGGATATGTGAGCATAAATTGGCTTTCCTGTCCACGGGCTGGGACACCGGGTGGGATTGATGAGTGTTGGGTAGCTGCCCATCTTTTCTGACGACAAGGGGGGCCAACATATCCTTTTGCTCACCCATAAATCTTATAAGCGGCCCCGAAAGCCATGTCAGACTAAATGTGCACAACCGGCGGCAACGCGCGGTTAGGGTTCCTGGTCATCACCAACAGGCAAAAGTTCAATGTAACAACCGAGAGAGGGCCCCAGATACGGAATGGTCGGAAATGGTCGTGCAGCTTGAGACCCTATACTGAATGAGAGCAGGCTTCAATGAGGTAAGGATCTTGGGAGGTTGAGAGTCAAGACGAGGCACCGGACCCATCGCAGCCAAACGGCTTAACCATACAGGTCAGTTGTATGGTTTCAGGGTTTGTTCAACAGGAGGTCACTGTTGCAACTAAGAAATGGCCAATTGCCCTCCCAGGTATTGTGTGACAGAGCGCCAAGATGGGTGCTCTGCTCTGCTCTGCTCTGGTCCTGCTCTGCTGTGCCCTGCTCTGTTGCGCTGCGCTGTGCTGTGCTGTGCTGTGCTGTGCTGTGCTGTGCTGTGCTGTGCTGTGCTGTGCTGTGCTCTGTTCTGCTCTGCTGTGCTCTGCTGTGCTCTGCTTGCTCTGCTCCTGCTCTGCTCTGATGTGCTTTGCTATGTTCTGCTCTGCTTTGCTCCGCTGTGCTCTGCTGTGCTCTGCTGTGCTCTGCTCTGGTCTGCTCTGCTCTGGAGGGGATATCGTGACCGAGGGGATGCCTTCGTCATGTCCTATGGCGATGTTGGGTGGACTAGGGTCGTTGGTGAACCAGAAGGCACTCCTCGTGACGGATGTGTTCACGATGAGGTGATGTAAGAGGCCTAATTAGACTAAAACGTCTCCGTCGTGTCAAGACGCAGGTCAATATCGCAGTTCAGAGGAATAGCTCATTCTGATTGATGAAGGCCCATCATTATAGGAAATATTGTTTCTCTGTTCATCTCGGAAACCATGCCTTTCATCTGTGCTTTGAAGCGTTCCCCGGTGACTGCAAATCAAACATTCCTCACTTTGCCGTCGTCGGTGGCCATAGGAAATATATCCAGACACGGTCAGAAACATAACGAAGGTCGCCACAAATTGGAGAGACACCCTCCCCTCACCAAGCCTTAGAGGGTCCCCTTTACTACGGAACGCCACCATGAATGCTTGTCAACCCGCCACCCCACCAAGAACAGTTGGTAGTGCTGCGTTTGTGCGCCATACGAAAGGTACGCGGCTAAGTAAGATGCCGTCCGTAGTGCGCCATACGAAAGGTGCTCGTCTGAGAAAGGCACCGTTTGTGTTGCGCTATACGAAAGGTATGCGGATGAGTAAAGTACCGTTCGTGTTGCGCCATGAGAAAGGCACGCCACTGAGTAAGGTACCGACCGCTGTGCGCCATAAGAGAAGTACGCGGATGGGTAAGGTACCATCCGTGGTGCGCTATAAGAAAGGATACGCGGCCGAGTAAGATACCGTCCGCTGTGCGCCATAAGAGGTACGCAGCTGAGTAAGTTGTCGCAGCCGTGTTGCGCCATAAGAAAGGTACGCGGCGACATGTGTCGCACAACAAGTTTTCATGACGTGGTATTCGTGAAAAGTCGTTAGGTAAAGCCTCTTCTGTTCCTAGGCTCCTTATCTGACGGAGAGCCACGTGAAAAAGTGTCCATCCATCCACGGGCAACTTGATGGCGGCGCCTCTGCCTCCCTCCACATAGCGATTCCGGAGTGCTCAGCTCCGGAATCGCTTCGCTTGCCTGGGACCGTCGGCGCATGTTTACAGTCACATCACTACGGCTCAATAACAGTCAGGTCATAGAAACAGGAAGCGTTGCCAGCAGCTGCCAGTCCCATTAGGTGCGACATAAATGCATGGCACAGACGCTCGAGGAGACGTTAAGTACCGAAGATTGCTACCTTCACGACCGGCCTTGGAACTTAAGGTCCTGCAGCCACCAATTACCTCCTGTTCATATATGACATTGGCCAAACTGTGGGGTGGTTGACGAGCTCGAGTCGGCGCACATTACCTCTGGCATTGTCGAGTTTTAGCAACCAGGACATTACTGAATTTAAATCATGAATGGGTCCTGTTCCTTATTTCGTTACAGAGTTACATTTATCACTAACGCACGTGACGCACAATGCACCCCATGGACACCATGGCATCGCGATGACTCCAATGGACGTTGAAATCATTGGCCAAGGGTGGCATTAAATGATTCTGGAAAAAAGCGTACTATCCGAAATAAAACTTGATTACACAATGCCACAGGAATTCCTGACGTGCGAAAACAGATATAAGTATCGGGCTCTGATCGCACAGCATCCGACCGCAAAACATCGAATGCTACATCAGTCACACTCACAACGTCGGTCACACGTCAGTCACACTCACAACGTCGGTCACACAACCTCAGTCACACTCATAAGAGGCCTGACACGAGCTCGTGGCCTCATTCTAGCGAGCATTTTGCTGTTGCCTAAACTGGTTTGCGTGCCTGTTTTTCAGAGCTGCTTGGCTAAGCTTACAGATATTGCTGGCACGCTCCGATATTGGACGCGTTAACGTCATGAACCGAAGGCATGCGCCTACGTAAAACCGCGCAGCTGCTTCATCTTTGGAGAAACTGGCTGACGTTTTGAAACGCTCGCGAGTCATTTGTCTTATCGCAAACACACGCATGGCTTGCGATCGTTCGATAATACCACGTCATGTGGCTGCTTTGGCTCACGTCTCGCCGGCGCTCGGACTTAGTGCGATAATGAGACACACCACACACATCAGAGACGCTAACATGGCTCCGGCGACTGCTCTTCATTAGTCGAAGGTTGCGAGCTCGCCAGCCGTGCCACTCACACTTGACTTGTATTGGTTTCTGGGGTCAGCGTGAAGTCTGAAGAGATGCACACACGGTTCCTTGCGTACTTTTCAGCTCGCGTCGTTAGAAGTTGTCCTTGGCTGCTTGCTATTATACAGCTCGGTAGCCGTTTATACGCCGCAGGCCCAGTCAGTGACTCTTTTCAGGCCGTTCCCACGTCTTCTCATGTTGTTCCCATGTCGTACGATGTTATCACGCCGTTCCGGTGGTCAGACGGTCAGGTTCGTTCCACTCCTGCAGTCCCGGGGCGTCCCGTGACATCTAAAACGCTCCAGTGATCGAAGACTCATTGGCACAGCTTACGCATCAGCTGTAAGGTCAGCATCACTGAAGCACAGGCATTCCCTGCCTCCACAAGCAGGGACAGGCCCAGAAAGGCAGAAAGGGTATTCAATTCAATTTGTATCATATAGTGTTTCGGTGATAACCCTTTAAAACCATGCTATGCAAGCTTGTATATTATGTAACTATCGATATATGCGTGTTATGCAGAGACCGATAGCGAAGGCAAAAGTCATTGATAATATTGGGCTCAGAGAAGCCGGTTTCTCCTAAATCGAGCGACTGACTCTGCCACTGGCCATCAGCCCACATCGGAGGCAAGGAGACAATGTCAGCGCCGGTTGCGGCATGCCAGCCCGGCCTCATAATCACACGCGACGCAACAGACAAACGCCGTCGACATCCGTAGCCATTGCATAGCGCATGGCGGAATCGGCCGGAATGCGACCGATCCATCGTTACGTTGGCCGCCGCACGGGGCGCCAATCCAGCTAGCGGACTTAATCCCGACAGAGGTGCCCATACCGCGACACACAAGCGAGCGTGCGCACATGGCTTCTCGTGATCTGCCATAACGTCCTGTGATCTGACCTCTCGTGATCTGCCATAACCTCCTGTGATCTGATTTCTCGTGGCCTGCCATAACCTCCCGTGATCTGACCTCTCGTGGCCTGCCATGAACTCTCGTGACTTCCAATCCCGTAGCCTCTTGTGGTTTCTCGTCACCCGTGTTCCCGTGACCTTGCATGACTTGTGGTGATCTGGCCCCTGAGCTTGCATGACCTCTTTTGACTCGCCCCGTAACCTCTCATGACCTCTCATGGCTTTCGTGACCTGCTATGACCCGGCGTGGCCCGTCTTCTCGGGGCCTCTCGTGACGTGCCATCACCCTTCCTCGTCCCGCGAGGCTCCGCCGGGGGAAAGTCGATGTGCCGGGCAGCGTGGGTCAACGGGCCGCGTGACACGCGGCCGCCCGGTGGCGTGATGGGACGCCCCGAAGCCGTCATGCTATGTGTGCCGACTAATCGCTCCTCCGGACGGACAGATCCGCCCGCAGATGCGTCAACAGATTGGCGCGCCGGGCCCTACTGACCCCGACACACCGGGCGGAGGGGAGGGCAGGCGAGGGGAGGGGCTGCACGGGGTAGCGCCACCGGCAGGTGATAGCATCAGGTGACGGCCAAAACATGCCACATCTGCATGCCTCAAGTACCTCAAGTTTATAGAAGAAGACAACACTGAATGATGTGCTGAGCGGGCATCTTAGAAAATGAACCGGATATAGACGCATGAGAGATGAGACCTTTCATACTGAAACTGTGCCCTACCTGTTTTTCCAGCTCTCTACTTTCAGATCGATCGAGCTCATTCGATGTATTCACTTCGGTTCCCAACAGAAGCTGTAAAAATTGTACGCCTTTTCACGCTCAGGTTTGCTGAAGTGTTTCGATGCACTTCACCTCTGACCTGCGACCGCTACGTTGCGTCGACATCTGGCATTTTGCATAAACGCTAGGCCTATAATGTTAATGAATTAGTTCATTCGTATCGTTCATGAGGGCCGGTGATAGGAAAGGTAGAAAGGTAAGGACGACTTGCGGCCGGAAAGTCGCATCGCTCACAGACCTAGTCACGAGACACAGGCCGACATGTTTGTATGTTCGTGAGCAGTCACCGCTCTGAAAACTTTGAACGCAGCCAAAAATTGTCACCAAGTACAAAAAAGAGAGCTCATGCCGGCCATTCACGACCGACACTTGACGCTACCCGCGGGCGCTGTCGGCCTCAAAACTGTCCGAATTGTCTCCAAATTTTGCTGTTGCGCGAATTTCACACACGTCTGCAACACGGCGAGTCGAGAAGCGGCAGCCCCGTCACATCGGGTTTTTGTTCGGCTGTGGCGCTTTCACTGGCGCTCGTGGTCGATAGCTTTCACACACGATAGCTATCACAGAACGCCCACATCGTGATGTCGTGTATCGAGCGTCATTCTGTCCCCCCCCCCCCCCCCCATATGCACCCCTTTCGCTTTCGGTCTGGCCACCACAGGTTCGACCCAGATCTGACAACGCTGCGATACGGAGCGAGAGCTTGCACGGATAGGATATGACGTCACAAGAGAGCTCACGGAAGTCTTACAGTGGGAAAGGCTGATGCTGCTTTTGGCTTACGTGCCTTTCTTTGGTCTCTTCAGTCTAGCAATGCTTTCTCCTGGTTGTGCTGAGAAGAGGGCACGAAATACGCAAGTGCACCGAAATGATCAGATTTGTTGCCGCGTCCTGTTAAGCAACCACGGCTCTTGTATACCGTGCAGCGGAACACTGGACACGAAATGCAAGCATTAAAACACCGAAATCTTATTTTCGTGACGTTCCAGCCAGATCTCGTCCATTAAAGGCGACTATTTATACACACCAACACAGTGCATAGTGAACTGTTTTCAAATGATCTGACTGTAATATCACATAAAATGGTCTTGCTGAGTCGAGACAAAGTAGGTTAACACTCTCAGAATAACACGGCGAAACCCACGCAAGATGGATAAGATGTTGCCTTCTTCCATTTGAACAGCTGTGTTATCAATGTGGCACAAGCAATCTCACTCACGGCTGAAGGTGTGATTTTGTATTTGCCACGTGTGGAACTATATGGGCCGGTACGTAATATGCGTCACTTCATCGATTGCCGATACTGAGCAACCCTGGCCGAGTTTCTTTTCTGTCCCAGCGGTCTTTCGATGAATGGTTACTTGTCAGGATGTGGTTTGGCCACTTCCTAGTCCAATGATTTAGGGAAATTAAAAATGCCCCTGAAACGGAAGATGCATGCTTTTCGTAGCAAGAGGAAATGCAACGTCTTGCAACCATCGGGCAAGGTGACATTATCTAGAAGTGGTTAAAAACAGTTTTCCGCTCATCTGCTGCTAAATACTTGCATCAGGCAGACACAGCTGGGTTAGCGAATCGTGAGTGCTGACATGTGAGTGACATCTATATTCAGTTCTCAGCAAAATATTGCTTATCGCTGTGGTTTTGCCTCTCTGATCCGCTTCATACAATTGTTCCTCCGTCAAAGTGGGAGAGTCTGCGCGTATGCTCCCTCACGAGATAAAAACAGCTAGGAAGGACAGAAAATTAAACGTAATTTGCATTTTTTATACTTTATGACTGCGTCACAAAGTTGATTAAGTTAGGGGATCAAGCGCGTATATAGCAAGAATAACAATTACCTTACGGCTCCGAGGTATGATGTCGCACTTCCCACAATCTTGAAAAGCTGTCACACGGTCCTTGTGCTCCATTGTATTCGCCCCTTTTACTCGTGTGGAAAAACAGCAAAACACGCAAGACCGATCCTATGTATATCGTGCAAACAACCCAAACATTACCTCAATCCCGAGTAATGAGCTTATGATGCACATTTGTTAACGTACCGGGAAGGGGTGTCATTTTCTCAGTCGATTAGTGGCTGAGCTGAAAGAGTTGACCTAACCTATCCTCAAAGCCCAAAGACCCGCATTTTGGGCTCTTGCATGTGCGTCTCTGACGTCAGAATAAACATTAAAAATATTTGGTCGATTCCAAAGTTGCATTCATGCTGAGGAATGATTCCCCAACTAAAGCTGATGCGCAGCAGCATTTTGTAAAAAGCTAAAAATGGGATGTTATTCGAACAATGAAAGCTAAGCAAATCGATCGGCCGTGATTTTGGAAAGCAAGTGCTGTTTTTCGTCCATAAATTATTGTCCCAGGAGCAAACGGACGTTTTTCAGAATAGCGTGAGCTGACATGCATAAACGAGAGGCTATACCAAACTGTATGTGCACTGCCAGGGTGCACCAACATAAGAATGGAGCTTAACTGTATGACCTTCTCAACGGACGGGTAAATCATTGGAACGGTATGAAGGGATCGTCACTGCACCGCCGCCAGAACGACCGTTTGAACGAGCAACACTACCAATACCTCTGGCACGCGTTCGAAACTGTATACACAGGAGTGGCCTTGAACTCTGCGTACTTCGGCGTTATGGGTTGGAAGTTTCATACTGAAAAAGTCGATCTTTACCTTACCAGGAGGTTGTGATCTGCAATGACGTTATACGAAGTCATTCGTTGTTTTGAAAAATCCATGCATACCACCCAAATATTTTTCGGGTTTAACCAGGCCCTGCCGCCACGTGGAGGATATACCGCCGAACCGTACTTCAAGCCGCACCATCCTGAAATGTGACGATCGCCTGTGCCGACCGCTCAGAGCGTTGCCCTCCCGACTAACCCGCTGGTGGTTGGCATGGAGCCGCTTCGGACGTTTGCCGCCTATCCTTCTTTGGGATAGCCTAGGGCCGGTGGCCGGGCCGCACTGACGGCCAGATGACGTCAGAGGGCAGGATGGGCCGCACCGAGTGGGGCGGCATGTTAAGCTTTAGTCACATACTTCTGCCGTTGACCTGGAATGTCGCGGTTGGATGGTGGGGTCAGGGCGACAAGCAAGGCCCCGAATGTGTACTAAGTGGTACCGCTGGTGAGCCAAAGTATAGTACTGGGTCTTTCAGCCCGATACTTTTGGACCAGCCGAAGTAAACCTTTGGACGACCTCGCAGCATAATTGCAATATACCGTTCTCCAGTTTCAGTCGCGTTACGACTCGTGGAATACGAGTCGTAGCATCACAGTTGTCTGAAACAGCGATGATGCAATGCAAGCTGCTAACACGAAAGTGACACAAGTTTGTAACGTCATTAGACTCTACCACTTCAGAAATCTGATAACATTTGGAAACACGTTCGAAACAATGCGTATACTGAATGGGTGGTGAATATGTTTCCAAGGGTTTCGGGTCAGCTGAGTTAAACTCATAAACATTAGTTTTGTTGTGGTTTGTCAGCCACGGGCTGGCAAATTATTTATACATGGCGAAGGGGTGCTTAATCTGGTAGCTTTTAATGTTGCCTGTGCACCATCAATGGGTTAAATTGGAGTGTAAGGAATATAAATGAGTAGGCTTCTACGCATTGTCTTTGCAGTGCTCTTTCAATTCACCGGAACGCATCGACCAACGCACACCACAATTAAGTTTTTGGATTGCTTTTCCCGACCCATAGCAAAGTGATGAGTTCAGATGACGCTACGGACACCACGAGTTGTAATGCGATTTACAATGTGGGAAGACCAAAGACGAACGTTTGTTTGAAAATATCACGCCTCTCCGTAGGCTGAATGAATCTCATGTCAATTCGTCGTTACTTTGGCAATTAAAAGCCTATGCGCAAAATACATTGGTCGCCTGGTGCATATGCCGGTTTTCGTGTCTTCCACAGGATTTATGCACACCAGTGACTACCTCGGCGCAAAAAGGGCAAGTTCGGCGAAAAGATTGGGATGATTTGAGACGCCCCCAGCCTGCGGTAAAAACACCCCCACCATCCATTTCGGACAAGCGGATCTCACTCACCAGTAAATAGGCTTGCCATCCATGCCATCTCACTGGGCCAATATTCGGATACGTCCAGAAGACGCCGCCACTACACCACCGCACGCACGTATACGCCAAATGCGCGTGTGGGCCGCCCCCGCGCGGCGGCGCCAGCGGCCGGCGCTGATTGGCCGGCGGGTTCCGGCGCCAGCCGACTCTCCACCAATCAGGGTCGAGCTAGGCGCCAGGGAGTCGGGGGGGGGGGGGGGGGGGAACCGGGTCTGCTCTCAATACGGGATTACGCCAGGCCCGGGTCAGCAGGAAAATAGTCAGGGAGGCTGCTATCTCGGCGCCAGTTGATGCCACAGGATGATTTGAGTACTAGAGTACATGAAGACGGATTTTCATTGAAGAACGTCAACAAATCGTGGCCTGCGCCTCAGAGCTCGGCATATTCACGTTGCGGTGTTTCGGCGATGTCGGAATGATGCGTGAGCAATGCATTTCAACCGATTTATTCATTCTTGAGTGCCATCTCGTGCAATGGGCAGATTCGCACCGCTTGATAAAAGGCCAAAAATCGACATTTTCAAACTGATTTATCTACCTATAAGACCTACCTAGAAGAAGATTCACCTACCTAAGGTAAGAATGCTAACGGTTTCTAGGTGGTGGATAGGGCCGTGGTCTTGCGAAATTAGTGGGAGGGGCTGGACCGTGAAAAATAATGAACCCCGACCCAAAATCCTCAATAAATGGGTTTCTTCCTGGATTTGGCCCATTTTTCTCTCCAAGTTGAAGGCATTGGAGCCCAGGTTGGGTGGGGCTGAAGTCCCCCCCCCCATCCCGACTGAGAAGGAAAATTCACCGCTGGTCGAGGATTCTTAGTACACTGCTGAACAGGCGTTTTCTGCGTTAAATCGGAAATGCGGCTACGTTGGCTCGACTGGCGGCAAAACTTCCGCATGCACTTTGAGCCAAGGTTCGTGCAAGCATGCCTCCATGACAGGATACTTGGCTACTTTTCTCAAAGCTCCCTGAAGACAGGAGATCTTCTCGCCAGAGTGCACTGCCTAAAATATTTCGATCAAAATGCCCCGAAAAATTTTGTAGCACTCAATGTAGCACAAAACACAATGCAAGTTTTTAAAGTGACTGCAAGAAATTATTCGTAGCACCGAGACATTGACTACTCAGATGTCTAAGTTTGGCATTGGCACACTATTCAAATCGTAGACAGCAGCAGCTGACAGAATGTCAGCAAATGCTAACGCACTATTTTCCGAAACATATCCAGTCTTGTCGGGTGAACGCTGTTTCCGGTTGAACGTCAGGGCGGGGGACTGGGTGGCACTCCCGCAGCACGTGCAGCCCCGTTCTAGGATAGCACTCCCGCAGCACGTGCAGTCCCGTACTAGGGTACCACTCCCGCAGCACGTGCAGCCCCGTACTAGGGTAGCGCTCTCACAGCACGTGCAGCCCGTACTAGGGTAGTACTCCCACAGCACGTGCAGCCCCGTACTAGGGTAGCACTCCCACAGCACGTGCAGCCCCGTACTACGGTAGCACTCCCACAGCACGTACAGCCCGTACTAGGGTAGCACTCCCACAGCACGTGCAGACCCGTACTAGGGTAGCACTCCCACAGCACGTGCAGCCCCGTACTACGGTAGCACTCCCACAGCACGTGCAGCCCCGTACTACGGTAGCACTCCCGCAGCACGTGCAGTTCCGTACTGGGGTAGCACTCTCGCAGTACGTGCAGTCCCGTGCTGGGGTGGCATTCCTGCAGCACGTGCAGCCCCGTACTACAGTATCACTCCCGCAGTACGTGCAGCCCCGTACTAGGATAGCACTCCCGCAGCACGTGCAGTCCCGTACTAGGGTACCACTCCCGCAGCACGTGCAGCCCCGTACTAGGGTAGCACTCTCGCAGCGCGTGCAGCCCCGTACCAGGATGTCACTCTCGCAGTACGTGCAGCCCGTACTAGGGTATCACTCCCGCAAACATGCAGTCCCGTGTGAAGCAAGACCCGCGAAATAAAAACAGTGAATGGCCTGCCGTCCAAGACATACAATAGCGTCAATTTCGATCACTAAACGTCAGCTAGTTGCTCAGTCAGTTCAGTTAATTTTCCAAGTCAGCTCAGTCTCAAAGGGATTAGGTCTGTCCAAATGCTTTCTTATCTAAACTGCCCTAAAATGTGTAGCAGATTCCGATTTAAAAGGGTTTTTCAATCCTAGCAACTCGCGTGCATCAGCAATACTGCAAATTGACACTGCAAATTGGAACGCTGCCAAGGCGAAAATGCCACAAAATGGAATTCGTTTTTCACTGGGCCGGTGTTAAGGTCTAGGTTTGTGAATGATTTATCGCATAAGGAGCAAACTCGTGGCAAAGAGAAAGATGCCAGAGGGTGCAGTGTAGTTAGTTGCAGCTTTGCGCGGATTTAGCCGCAAAATAGCTTTAAGGCCTGGTGTCGCTGGGCCTCGCCAGTCAGCCACGCTTATGGCCTTTACATGACGAGTGGCCTCACAGCCACACGGCCAAACTCGAGAACACAGTACTCTGCAGTCGAACGGAAGGACGAATCAAACAGCTCTCGTAATGCTACATCGGATGAGAAACACTGAGTGAAGCGTGCAGTGGTCTTCAAGGGATTGAACCGCAGCTGTTTCAAGAGCCGAGCGTGGTATGGTTACGGCCGAGCGTGGTATCGTTATGGCCAAGCGTGGTGTGGTTAGAAGGCAGACGTGATGGATAGCTGTCGTATTTGGCATGACAGCACATGCATGCACATTAACACGCGCCCGGGTGGCCGGTTGAATACCCTTCGTCCTGGTGGGGGGGGGGGGGGATCAATTTGAACCCTTCCCCTGAGGTCTCAGAAATTAAGAGAGCTAGAGACACCAAATTCACAGGGTACGTTGACATATACGTGACTCACTAAAGCCAAGTTTTGAGGTTCCTAGGTCGTGACCTTCGGGTCAAATATGGTCAAAAATGTTCAAATTCCAGGTTCGTCTCCAAAGGGCCCCTGGAACCTAGATAGTTGTTCTAAGCCAAATGTCACACACTCCTTTTAGGTCAGTGACCTTGTTTGACCTTTTACAAGTCATTGCGACCGAAATCATACAAGGCTGCTTTGAGTTTTGCACTTGAATAAGCGACAAAGATTACGATCGACCGTTTATTCTTAAAAACAACATGTTGAGATGGGTCATTTTAGGTTAGTAGCCTATCCTGACCTTTAAAAAGTCCATGGAAGTTGTATAATGCATCTTCTGTTACCGATACATTCGAAATGAGCACCAGGAACTACCCCAAGCAGCAAGCCCTAGAGCAATAAAACGGGTTGGTTTTGACCTTGGTCTGACCTTCACACCTAACCTTAGCTCAATTGAATTTGTTCATTCAATTGTTGAGTGGCCTATGAAGATATCTCAGAGATGTATGGCTTTGCTTAACACTCCACTGATGGATCCGATTGAACGATTTCCTGGAAATTGCCTTCGCTGGAGCCTTAGCCTGAGCTTGACCTGCCATAGGTCAGCGACCTTACAAGGTACATCTAAGTTTTTGGTGTCAGGCGATCTGCTATCCAATAGTCTACAGCTATGCAAAATTTGGTGCGACTACGCAGCGCTGTTCGAAAACCATTCCGGAAAAACCTTCGGGGGAGGGGTCAATTTGACCCGTCCCACCCGAGCGCTGACAAGATTTTGAGTCAGATTTGGCTGATGGACAGGAAAAGACAGGCAGCAATGTAGAAGAGGATAAAGAAGTCTGTCTCTCGTCAGTTTGCAAAACGCCAATTGCTACAGGCTGGTGGCAGGATAGGGAAATCATGAGAAGTCAAGTAAGATTACGGAACCAAGTGCGTACATTAGCATAAGAAAAACGAAAAATTTCAACAGTAATAATGATATTTTGTGTTGTCTCATTTTGATAACGTTTTGTAAAACCGCATTATATTTTAGATATGTTCTAAAATAGGGAAAACCAAACGATAAGTCCGAATTCAACATATGTAACGTTATCAAATCCATCATGTAATATGCAAATAGTATTTAAGATCTCTGAAAGACCTTTAGAATGCACATTCTATGAAAGCACCCATTGAAGGAAGTCTGAAAGCAACCTGCGACCGACAAGCCCTGTTAAGGAGTCCATCACTCGTTACCAATGAGAGGTATGGTCTTAAATTTTGCACAAAATGTGTGGGAAATTTTGCAAACCTAGGCGTGCAAAATTCATCGCTCATCGTTGTCAGTTTAGACGTGATTCCAGAGAGACCCCAGGGACCTCTGAGGACCTCTGAGGTTATTCATCCGAGAAGGTTAATGGTAGGGAACAGAAATGAAAATGGTTTCTTTAGCAGTGCATTGCAAAACTGTAGCCAAATGTCCATAACTTGTTATTGCAACAAGATCCAGTAAAGCGAGAGCCTAGGATTGATGTGGTAAATAGGTCAGTTCATAGATGATATACTACCACGTAAATCATACGTCACGTGCGTAGTTCATATGGCACACGCATGGGTAATGCGTCATACACCTAGGTCATGCGTCACACAGAGGTCACATGTTCGGTCATAGTCACAGGGAGATATAGTTCAGTCAACACGTCAGACCCCAGAACGATAATTGTCTGTCCAGGGTACCTGTGTACTTGGTGATGGCATTACATTGCTCTTTACCGAGCTTGCGATTAATGATGCTATCCAGAGCCCATGAGCAGCAAAACAAAACCGCATTCGTCGCAGCAATGACTTCACTTAAAGACGACGTCCTAGCTAAGTGGCTGGCCATGATTTGTGACCGTTATATGGAACACATTTGCAATGTATTTGTAGTCAGCTACGCCAAATCTTTCGGATGCCATCTTTTGTCGTGTTCTGCGGCACTAAAGATTTCGGCAAAGGCCTAGCATTTTTCCACGCTCTGGGAAATAGCCTGTTATTAACACATCTGTTAAAGTGGGATTCCGTGGAAAGCTTCCATGGTGCGTGGATATGGCGCACCAGTACCACCGTTCAGCTACAAAATAACATGATTTACCAACTTCCCATGAAAAAACAGGCAGGCACCATCGCAGGCCGGGTCTTCACTGCTTTTCGATTTCTATTG